GCTGAGATCAATCTTTTACAGGATTATCAAATGCGTTTAAATGCGGTTTCCTTAGATGTACAGATATACACGCCACCACATTGCGTATGAGTGTGGCGACGAGAAGAACCAATTGGTCTGCGATCACGAACACACATGCACATATACAAACTACGGAAGGAAGCAAGAGCGGAAAAAGTGAAGAAATGAGAGGGATAAGGAAAGCAGATCGAAGGAAGGAGGAAGGGAATCCAATATAACTGCACACACGTTTATAGGGTCGATGGGAATATATTGGAGCGGATATTGAAATACTTGTTGGTAGTTTGAGTCGAAGGCGAGAGATGCCTTTCTCGATGCCATCTTGATTGCGCAATCGAGGCATCGGTCCACGAGTACAGAATTTAACGATAAAGATCGTACGGATTATAGAATCCTAGACGGGGAACAAAGTCCCCTTCCTACCTATCCTCCTTTCCCAGGTTTTGTGCCTTTATCGGTATTATGAACCTCAACTTCTTGTTGTTTGCCACATCATTTCCTTAAACGAGATGTTATGTTACAATTACATTTGGCAATCTAACTTCGTCATATATTTTTAAAAATATATTTTGTTTATATTGTAAATAAGTAATATGGATTCTATTCACTTATTTATTTCATAATTATTTAAACAAAAGATAAGATTAAATTTTTTTCGAAAAACATATTGAATTACATTACAAAAATGTCGATTATCGAAAATATAACAGAAAATTGCAAGTAATGTTATAAAAAATATACTATTAAATGTTTGCATCTTTGATCTACGAACGTTCTGTTTTTTAATATTTCATATTTTGTTCTTTTTTAATTAAATTTTTATAGAATTTTTATCGATCTGTTATGTAATTAAATGACCTCATGCACAGAAATCTTTCATCTACGGTGAAAAGAAATTTTAATAAAAAAGATTCCGAATCGTTAATACATACTTGTATAATTTTTTACATTTTATTTCAATAAATAAGAAAAACAACTTGAATCAATGAAAATATTAATAAGAGAAAAAAAAACTTACATATAATAGTTATTTTTTATTTTACAATATTGAAACAAAATATAAAAGAATTAAAACTATTCAATTTTGTTAAATATTAATTATACATAATTAACGCAAATTTACAACTTTAAATTATTTATTGATGATTATTTATTGATGAGACTTCTAAGGTATATAATAATTGTATTATCTATTCAAAAAGTTGAATAAGTAAGATCAAAACAAAAATTGAAAAAGAAAAATAACATTTGAATGATCTTTTACAGTTTCAAAATCATTGAATTTCTATATTATAAAAATAAAGAGAGATTAAGGGAGAAGATAGAATTCTCAAGCGCGACCGATTCTGTCGAACGGAAATGCAATTCGGAGCGGCGCCGGCAGTCGAGTCTCAGCTCGAGTCGACAGATAGATAGAGTCAAGATTCAATTAGCTCTAGCTGTCAACTGCATGATACTCGTCGATTCAATACACCTTCTCGTTCATGTGCCCGCGCACATGCTTCTTTTCGTGCGTGTGTAACTGCGTGAGCGTGCGCGCGAAAGCGTACGTCAGTTCGCGTTTCGCGTTTAGCCTCGTAACGTTTTCGATGCCTGAATACTTTTGTACGTGTATGCATATGTGTGTCATCGTTTACATACACGTATATATTTGATCATGTGAATGAGCTTAGTACACGCGTGCATGCTGAAAATTACCCGATCGGGCAAATCGTGAATTTTGGAAATGATTTTACGATCGCGGAGTACGAGGGAGTACATAAATTTTCGACGAGCTCGATTGCACCGAATAATGAGATAGACCATCTGTCCTAATAGAAGCACTGCTGATATTCATATTTCCGATTCATAATATTAAACATAAAAAGTGTTCTAACTAAATATATATCTAATTAGTTTCGATTTCAAGATATATATAAATGACTAGTCGAATAAATTAATTAAAATTATGCTGTATATAAAATATTCATTATATTCAATTCATCTACAGAAATTGTTACTTATATATATATAATAAATGTAAACATCAGAGCGTCGAATATAGACATTAAGCAACATAAATAAATTGAATTCGTTTATTTTTCATAAGCTTTCGATTAATAATTATTTTTTAAGTCCGATTAATATTGTCTCTTTTCAATCTTTCATTTTCTTCCTTCGATGAAATATGCGATTAATAGATTTTAACATGATTTTAATTGATCATTTATACAAAAAGACTTGGATCCGCTTTTGAATAGCTGTTTTGAATATATGAAAGAATACCCATGGAAATCTGTGGTAACCGATGTGCGTGTAGGTGATGTAGGTATCACTTATCCAAGAGCGGGGCGATATCAGCCATTTTCAATTTATTTCAAGGGCCTTTTCGTGGCGGAGGAAAGAAGGGTGCCACGACTGTCGACAGAGAGATACCTATACAAACGACCTTCGACTTCTCTGCTTCCGACCATCTCCGATAATCGTAACCAATAGTCGTTTCGTTCACGATATTATGGAATTAAAATTATTTCGATTCAAATACGATCGAATATTTTCTTGTTTGGTGTTTGTGATTATAAATGACATATTAACGTTATCATACGTAATGATCAATGCATCGATATTATTTTATATACTTTTATCATGTTTTAAACAATATATGGAATAATTTTTATATGAAAAAAAATATTTTATTTTAAAAGAAGTACCTTTCAATATTATTTTTGTTTATACAATAATAAAATCTTTTCAGTTAAATTTTTATATTAATGCTATTGTAATTCATAAGTTTATTTATTATAATGTAGAAATTCTCATTTTTTTTTAGACATTGACATTGCTACATTATATCTAATATATAATATATAATAATTTATTAAATTTTTTAATATAAAATTCACAGATTATAATAAAAATATAATAAAATTGTAAAAAATATCAGTATAAGTATATTTTATTTTAATTCGTTTTTAATCACTTTTTTAAAGGGTGAATGATACTTGCTTTTTGATAATATTGCAAAATGACGGTTAAGTAGCTGCACGCTTGAAAACCATTTCAAACTAGAGTACTTAAAAACCTTCCGATATTCTCATTAATTTCCTACAAATGCATCCTCGAAATATACATACAAAATATGCTGGTAAAATTAACCCGCCGCAAGTACTAAGGTAGTAATAAGTGTGAGCAAAAAAAGTCCGAGGAAAGAACCATTTCCAAATCCTCGTATACGTTTTACTTTCTATTCACATTCATATAATCGTAAAACCATAAAAATAAGCAATTTATGATTTTTTAATTCTGTAACATTAAATTTATTTAATTTATTTTTAATTAATATAGTCAACAAATATATTAAATATACCAATAATTTTTTTAACAATAGATAACGAATATAATTACATTTCATCATCATCATAAAATCAGAAGCATACAGATGAAAAAATGCATTATAAGAAATGTGAAAACAAAATGAGAGAATAAGAGCGAGTGAGAGAGAGAGAGGGCGTTGCGGCCACAGAATTATTGAACCCCATTGCAAATGTGGGAGAACAGTTAGGGGAAGGAAAAAGGGAAAGGGGGCGGAAAGAGACGTGGGAGGTGGATGGGAGCAAGAGAGTTGTAAAAATAACGCAGTTAATTAGCAGCAAACCACTTTAGCGAGCTCGAGCCCAGTGCACACACTGTAATAAGCAAAGAACAACTCACGGGCGAAAAACGCCCTCGAACGCGAGGCAACTGAAACGCGCCAAGGCCCAGACGAGCCTCTCTCTCTCTCTCTCTTTTTCTCCCTTTTTCTTTTCGTTTCTGTTTTGCTTTTCTCGCCCTTTCTTCTTTCTGCTCATGCTCCACTCCATCTTTCCGACTCGCTTTCTGTTGCGTACTGTTTCCTCCTTTACCGGCTGTTCTACCGAGTCAAGCATAAACAACAGACGTTTTAACAATTTCGCTGTTGCATACCGCTTCGAAATTCATTGTACCAGAAAAAAATGCTCCTTAACGAAGGTTTATTTGTTTCGAGATTTTCTCCGTTTAATTTGAGAATTAATTTTCTTATCCTATAATTTGTTACTTTTTTCATAAAAATAACAAATATAGAATATTTTAATTGCCAATT